AGGTAATATAACAAAAACACAAGCAGGTATGACACAGCCCCTCCGTTTAAGGGCGGATCCCAGACGCCCACAAAACAAAAACAAAACAAACATCCGACCAGGGTGGGCTGAGGGGGCCTCTGAAGGAGGACAAGAACCAAAACAAAACAACCCGACCAGGGTGGGCGGAGAGGGCCTCGGAAGAGGGCAAGAGTTCAGGCGGCTGGCCCGGAGGCCGTCCCCGGCAGACCTAGAGCTCAGGCGGCCGGCCCAGAGGCCGTCGCGGGCAGATCCGGCGATCAGCAAGCCAGTGACGCAGGGGCAGGCGATCAGCAGGCCGGTGATGCAGGGGCAGGCAATCAGCAGGCTAGCGACGTAGGAGCTGATGATCTGACGGCCGGCGGCGGGACCAGGAGAACCCATGGTGGAGCTCAGAGGCGTGGTGTGGAGACCGCTGGGACCTTCGTCGAGGCCGTGGAGATCTGCGCCAAGACACAGCAGCCAGAGAGGGTGCGTCCTCACAACACTCAGGGACAGCAACAGGAAGTGGAGACAGGTCCTCCACGAACTCCTCCGGAACGGGAACCAGGGATGGAGGCAGTTCGCCCTCGGAGCCCTCCAGGATAGGACCGGGAACAGGAGCAGGGAGTGGAGGCAGTCCATCCACGAGCTCCTTACGGACAGGAACAAAGTGTGAGGGCGGTTCGACTTGGGACCCCTCCGGAACAGAAACAGGATCGGGGTGTGGGGGCGGTTCATCCAAGAACCCCTCCGGAACAGGACCAGAAACAGGATCGGGGTGTGGAGGCGGTTCATCCAAGAACCCCTCCGGAACAGGACCAGAAACAGGATCGGGGTGTGGAGGCGGTTCATCCAAGAACCCCTCCGGAACAGGACCAGAAACCGGATCGGGGTGTGGAGGCGGTTCATCCAAGAACCCCTCCGGAACAGGACCAGAAACAGGATNCCAGAAACAGGATCGGGGTGTGGAGGCGGTTCATCCAAGAACCCCTCCGGAACAGGACCAGAAACAGGATCGGGGTGTGGAGGCGGTTCATCCAAGAACCCCTCCGGAACAGGACCAGAAACAGGATCGGGGTGTGGAGGCGGTTCATCCAAGAACCCCTCCGGAACAGGACCAGAAACAGGATCGGGGTGTGGAGGCGGTTCATCCAAGAACCCCTCCGGAACAGGACCAGAAACAGGATCGGGGTGTGGAGGCGGTTCATCCAAGAACCCCTCCGGAACAGGACCAGAAACAGGATTAGGAGTCGGGGGCAGCGGCGATGGCTGATCAGAAGCTAAACCATGAGCTGGAAAACCGCCTCCAGCTTCAGTGGAGAGGCGAGTGGAGGAGGGGGCAGGAGGCCTCCTCATTGAAGCGGCGATTTCATCTAGGGCCTTTTGTCGCTCAGCCGCAATGGCGTGGTGGATCCGAGAATCAGGAAAAAAATCCTTCCTCACCTCGAGCCAGTCTTGAAGGCTGCCAGCTATTTCCAGCCTTCTCCATGGGGAGCTGGGAGAGGTAGCAAGGTGGGAAAATAATTTGACCAGAATCTCACCCCTCTTGAATTCCCTCACCATTCCTCCCGCTTGGTCCCGTTGGCTGGATCCTTCTGTCATAAAGTGGGTTTTTGATGGACCAAAATGCAGGGAAGAGCTCTTGAAGCTCGAGGTTTTCAGGTAAGATGAGTCTCTATTATCCATGGCAGGACACAAACAGGGTAGCCAACACACGAGATCGCACATACACGTAACATAACATAAGGAACCAGTGGGGAACAAAGGAAACAAACGGGCTTAAATACAAAAACTGAACAGCAGGGGGAACCAATGACAAACGTGACAAGACAATCAGGGGAAAACACAGAACAGGTGTGGGCTTGGGGTGCAGGGAGACAGAAAACAAAAGACTAGACCAGGTAATATAACAAAAACACAAGCAGTTATGACATAGTGAGGATGAGATATTCCAAGTGATATTCCAGTGTTGGTCCATCCAGATAGCTTTGTTTAATCTTGTTGACCAAGAAATTATTTACAGTGTACAACATTAATGCATCTCTATCACATTGTTGCCATAAACCATGATTTCTTTCCCACAGGTAGTAATTATCTTCAACACATTACCTCTTTTACATTACTACCCTTCCCTTAGATATGGACCACTAAGGTATAGTGCACTGACATGATTACTCAGCTGTTCTTAAAGCTTTACTAAATTTAGCTAGATATTAACTGGTCGGGAGACTAAAATGTACATATTAGCTTAATAATGATCAAAAACAAAAATAAATATGGCATTAACCCAACTTCTCACTTCTGAATACACATGCTTAATGGACAAATAACAGTGTCTCTCTACCTTTAACTTTAGCTAGACTCACTCTCAGACTCACAGCTACATTATGTTAATTACAATATAAAAGGGAAAAGCACATAGAAACCCATTCACAGTATCATCTACTGACAAAATAATATGAGAAGACCTTACTGAGTAGGTCTGGTGTATTTTCACCGTGTACTGAACTGAAAATTAATACAAACAGGATAGAGCAAGACAGGAGCGCTGCCATCATCCAGGAAAACTGTTTTGAGGAAAACAGTTCACTGCAAAACCAACCTGCAGCAACGCCTCCCAGCAAAGGTTCCACTCTACTGTTACCAGTCCCCACCCTTATTAAACTCAGGAAAGCATTGAATAAAGACAGATTATTATGTTGAAATGTAAATGGAATATTATGGTATATAAAAATTTAAATGTAAAAGAATATTTCCAAAGCACACCATAACCAAAAGCTATGTGGTGACATATTTTTGGGTACACCACAAATACATTAATATAAAGAAATGAGTGGAACTGGTTAGAATTTATTAATTAACCATATGATTAGGCACTCTATTGGTCAAATTCTAAAATCAAAAAACGAAAAAAAAGAATTCTGAGAAAGGTAAAACAAATCTCTTTAGGGCCTTGGTTCAGGCTTTTTAAAGTAAAAAATAGGCATATATTCAAAAACCTGTAGAGGTCTGTGAATGTAGACAAATGTACAACAAATGCACATAAAGTCTACTTGTAATTGCAAAGAAGTTGCTTATAGAGCAAAGATTGATGGAGTAACAAAGAGTAAAGTAATATAAAGCCATCAAGAAGAAAAACAGCACTTCATAAAGACAAGCCATGAAAAGAGTGATTTAGGCACAGAGTAGTGTAGCATAGAGTTCAAGCAGAAAAAGAAATATGATTCCACAACATCATCAGGCACAGACATCAGAGGAATGGCCTGCAGGAAGCAAACACCTTTTGGATGTACACTTGCACAATCGTCTGTGTTTGAAATAATGATGACTGTGTTAGTCTGCAGTAGACACCAGCAACTAAAAACAGAAACTAAAAAGGTATTTGCAGAATTTGACAATAAATTAACACATCTTACTACAGCTTTAAATCAAGATTGATCTATAATCAGAGTTGTGATTGTTTCATTAGAATAATGATAAAATAAGTTTTATTTTACCATCCACATGCACTAAACTGCTCGACCTCTTCAAGTGAATGAGCTAACTATGGACTACCACAACCATTAGGGAGCACAAAAAGTGCCTGGAACAGATGCTGAAGACAATAGAGGGTTATTTTCTTATCTTTTAATTGAGATGACGAAGACATTTCAGGATGTATGGACAATGAAAGAGGAGCTTTATGGCAAAATGCCCTTTTGTGCTATATTGTGCTGAGGCTGCTGAAGGTTTCCTGCTGTGAATCAGTCATGGCTCACAGTTCTTCCTCTCTATTCTCGAAATAACAGATATAAAGCAGTGAATATAAAGTAGCTTTTTCTGTGACAAGGAGACGAGCTCTGTAAAAATCAGATTATTCAGAGAACAAAATATTGGTTAGAAAGACCGAATCACACCTAGAGGACTAAACAAATTTTTTGTGGGATATTTCAGCAGCCATGACACATGCTGTTTGTTGAGCAAATCAAATATTATGCAATTGAGAACACATTATAGTCCTATAGCCATGATTATCTACTGTGAAAGTGTCAGGGTGTGAAAATAGGTAGTAAAGCATTTTCACAAATTGTTAGGAATGTTATGAGTTTAATTTGTTTTAAATAATGGAAATTAGCAAGCCCTTCTCTGGGGACCAGTTAGCTAGACTCCCTCTAGAGAATTTTCTCTGACTAGTGTTTACTGAGGATACAGCATTGTCTAGTCATAAATATTCCACATAACCTTGCTACAAAGAATCTTAATTATCCCTTTGAGACTGGTGGGTACAATGTGCACAGATCAATAGCATTACCTACATTTCCAGTGTTGAATTTAACAGGAACAGCCTCTTCTCTGTTAATATTCAAAGGTCATTTTCTTTTCTTTGTGTCTGCCTTGGCAGTTTAAGTAAAGTGGGAGGTTTAAGACCGAGGTGCGCTTTGTAAAAAAAAAAAAATATTATACAACAATCCAATGTTTTGTAAAACTGAAAGCAGACAGCTATATGAGCGTGTGACAACGGCTAAGTTTCATTGCAGTTGAATTCAGTTCACATTACATGGAAGTTAAAAAAGATTTGCACACTCTTTGGGACCGATTGGTTTTCAAATGTGGGCAAGCTGAAGATCCACTGCTTCAGCATTAGTGACTACTTTACTTGTAGTACTTGCCCATATTGGAGTGTAGTACGGTGAATTATAAAGCCAAAGTTCTCAAGCCGCAGTAAAAGTACCACTGGTGGCTTTTTGTTGTAATCGGAAGAAAGTTTGGTTTGAATTATTTACAAGCTGAACAAACTATAGACAAACTAAGGCTGTGTTCAAATTCAGGGGCTGCGTCCTTCAAAAGCCACATTTTAGGCCGATTACATCAAAGTGATGCGATGAAGGCTGTCCAAATTCAAAGGCTCCTCCAAATACATAAGTAAACCGCACTGTTGAATGCTACAGCACCAATAAAAACATGTCTCAATTTTCTTTTTGCATTTATTGTTTTTATGACAAGACGTAAACTAGGAGGGCTGCACGGTAGCGCAGTTGGTAGCACTGTTGCCTTGCAGCAAGAATTTCCTGGGTTTGACTCCCGGCCGGGGGTCTTTCTGCATGGAGTTTGCATATTCTCCCCGTGCATGTGTGGGTTCTCTCCAGGTACTCCGGCTTCTTCCCACTGTCCAAAGACATGCCTGTTAGGTTAATTGGTCTCTCTAGATTGCCCTTAGGTGTGTGAATGGTTGTTTGTGTGTTGCCCTGCGATGGACTGGTGACCTGTCCAGGGTGTACCCTGCCTCCCGCCCATAGACTACTGGAGATAGACACCAGCTTCCCCGCGACCCACTATAGAAAAAGCGGTACAGAAAATGACTGACTGACTGACTGACATAACCTGGGAAGCCATATAGTGGTATTGAAAACGAAAGGATTTGAGCTAGACGAGAAGCTAAAGCTAATGCTAGCTTGTCATACTGGTTTATAATACGTATATGCAATATACCCACCGTACACCGATTTAATTGTTAGTGATATTGAGTATTGTAATATGTATGCTGTATCACGGCTGACAGTTGGTCTGGATGTTTATCTGGGTTTCTCAGTGGTGGTATGTTATTGTTCCTAGTTTCAGGAATTCGCAGTGGTTGCAAAACTTGAGGCTGTTTGAACAAATGTTTGCTAACGCTTTATGGGAAAAGGAATGTTAAACCGTAAAGCCAAGAAACGTCCAACAATTGGATAAATGACTTTTGGTTTGGTATGATTTGGTCAACAGAATTATGAACCATAAAGTAGTTGGTTAAAATAAATTAAGTTCCATTAAACACTGGTCCGGTATCAGGAAATACAAATGCTAGTATGGGACAGAATTCCTTAATATTAAAGTGCTATCACTAAAGAGTATGGTTTCTTCTGCACTGGCACATCTTAGAATACAGTCGTTTGTGTGATAAATTTACCCAGTAAGAAAAATGAACTTATTCAGGTTACCTTATAGGCAGAGAGAGAAGGGGGGAAGACATGCAGCAGAGCTCTCAAGGTCGGGAATCGAACCCAGGATGGCTGTGTTGAGGGCTATAGCCTATATATATGGGGCACCCGCTGTACTGCTACACCACGCAATGCCCTGAATGTAAGGTATTATTGATATTATGCTTTTGGTACATTTAAAAGTTAGTACTTTAATAATTTCATTTAAGTGGAAGATGTGATAAATTAAGAGCATTAACACTTGCTCTGTAATATAACTAAGTAACCAATAAAGTAATTCAGCACTTCCCCCTTCACTAAAAACATTGATGTGAAAACATTGTTTCTTACCAAAGACAGCACGGTGCTGCGATGGTGCTGCGATGTGCTGCGATGTGAGTCGAAGCTGGTGCCAGTGTTGAAGCCTTAGATGATGCGGGGGCAGAAGCAGGAAGGGTCAAAATTATGCCAAAATTATGTTCAAAGATATTCTGGAACCCCCTGGGCCTCCTCCCAGGACATGCTGGAGGGACTATATCTCTTGGCTGGCCTGGGAATGCCTTGGGCTTCCCCCGGAGGAGCTGGAGGAGGTGTCTGGGGAGAGGGACGTCTGGGTGTCCCGGATAAAGTGGAAGACAACGAGTACGAGTATGAGATTCTGGAACGAAAAAACACACAACTTAAGTACAGGCAAAACACGTAATTGCAATATACTTCAGAGACAGCAAATGAAAAATACAACAGAGCACAGAGTAAGCATTGGTGCTAACTAACCATTTTATTGTCTTCATGCAGGAGACAATGGCATGGAACATGGGACATGATGGGACAAGTAACAAAAAGATGTTTAAAGTACAAAACAATACATGCTTTGAATTCAACACATTGTTAGAGGCAGACTGGATTACGTCCATCTAATGACTGTTGTACTTTAGACACCTGAGTCTTAACTCAGAGTGGTAAAATTGACCTTTAAAAACCTCTGAATACAACAAAGCCGAGAATAATTTGATCTTATTTAATTTAACTGAAAAAGAATAATCATAATGAATGAGAGAAACACAGAGTGCACAAAAAATTCTAAAAGCAGAAAATCAAACCCATAGTCGCTCAAATAAATCTAAATTGTAGTATGGATCTATATTCACCCTCCTTTACTGACACCTCTAAATAAAGTGCAACGCAACCAAATGCCTTTAGAAGTCACCTTATTAGTAAACAAAGTTCACCCTGAATGCACCAGCCCCATTTTGAAATATGGATGGTGCATGATAGGGTTATCATGAAGTGGGGTTGCTGTTGTTCGACAGTGCAAGGATGTACAAAGTATTGACTCCGAGAGGCTAACTGCAATGTTCTCCACACTTTTGAAATCTTAAAACCAATCATTTTCTTTCTACCCCAAAATTATGCAGTACTTCATGTTGGTTTGTAACATTTCATTAAAAAAATATAGAAAATTCATGAGGCATGAACACTTTTGGAAGTGGTAAAGCAGTGGGAAGTTGAAGAAGGCACAGTGGATTAGAGTTGAACACAAATGACTGTAGTAAAAACAAGTAAACACCAGAAATAGGTTATGTTAAGGTGCAGTACAGCAGATCAGGGACAGACCGTGTCGTCATAGCTTAGCATACAAACGTGTTGTACAGAATGTTCAGTTCATTTGTTTGTTTTATGTGACGGCAGGGCGGGGAGTGCTCAGCCCACTGCTGACTGTCAGCATGTTCCAAGCACACTGGGGAACCATCATCTGCATCAAACCACCAAATTTGAGCTCTCACAGTGAAAATGATTAGTCTAATCTAATTTGTCACTGAGCACAGCCTCAGCTGGGTCTCTGTCCTCAATCACACACACACACACATACACACACACACACACACACACACACACACACACACACACACACACACACACACACACACACACACACACACACACACTGAGTGTCCTGTGCAGTACAACATCTTCCCTGGAAAGAAGGCTCACTATTCAGTCGCATTTCTTCAGCAATCCAATTAGGTTTGATTTCTATTCAATTACTGCTCCGTTAGGGAGTAGAGTACAGATCCATTGAATGAACTTTACTTGGGAATTCCATTACTTCTGAGAAAGTCATTCAAGTCCATAATGTGGATGGGAAGCAGGTCATAGTAAAGAGGGAGGCCAACATTAACCCTTACCATCTTCACTGTGAAGTGGAGCCGTAACCGTCTGGAGTTATGTTGTCAGCACCACCTCAGGGTCAAAGAGGGAAATCACGAAGGCCCTGGTTTAACAGAAAGCTCTAGAGCCTCACACAGGAAGACATCTGCTACATGTGAAACCACAGACAGCAAACTGTCAACACCTAGCTACTGACACGTGTGTGTGTGTGTGTGTGTGTGTGTGTGTGTGTGTGTGTGTGTGTGTGTGTGAACTAGTAGCTGAAGATAGGACTGTGAGTGGAAAAGATAAGTCCCAATGAATCTTGGAAGCAGAGCGCACAGCCATAAATTATGACCCAAAATTAAGACCACACTGAAACTTATTAAGTTGTCTTATATGGTGGCTTTTTACCATTATTTTCACATTACAGCCACAAATGTCATTGTATTTTATTCTGACACAATCTTTTATGTGACATAATTAAAATCAGAGAAGTTTGAACAGCATTTTTATTTCCCTCCTTTACTCTGATAAAATTTAAAATCTGCTGGTAGCTACATTGGAATCTCATTTTGTTGCCAAAGTGCATGTATTGTTGCACTTGACTCTGAGCACATCTTCCCCCTCTATGAAACATGGTGGCATCATGCTGCTGTGGGGATGCTTTTCTTACGTTAATGGGAAGATGGATTGAGCTATTACAGGCAAATTCTGAAAGAAAAGATTCACGTTGCAGCAGGACAACAACTCCAACCACACAGCCAGAGCTACACTGAAATGGTTTAGGTGAAAGCACATTGAAGTCTTTGAATGGCCTACTTGAAATCATAATCCACTTGAGAAAGTTCGCCAATGCCCTCCATCCAGTCTGAATGGACAAAACGTTTGCAACTGCAGCAAAAGGTGGATCTGCAAAGTATTGACTAAGAGAGAGTGAACACCAATGTGTTTTATTATTATTATTCTATTACTATTATGCACTATTTGTTGGTTTATGTAGTATACAAAATCCCAATAAAATATATTTGGTTTTTGTTGCAGTGTCATTCATTCATTCATTCATTCATTCATTCATTCATTCATTCATTCATCTTATATACCGCTTATTCCATAGTGGGTCATGGGGGAGCTGGTGCCTATCTCCAGCAGTCTGCAGGCAAGAGGCAGGGCAGACCCTGGACAGGTCGCCAATCCATCGCAGGGCAACACAGAGTCGAACCCAGGACCTTCAAGCTGCAAGGCAACAGTGGTTCCAGTGTGAAATGGATTTAAGAACTGTCATTACTTTTGGAAGGGACCGTGTTTTAGCATTGAGATTTTCATTTTCTGAGTGAAAAAAATGTGGGGTGGAGGTCATGATTCATCATGCAGACTTGTTTAAAATTACAATCACCTGAAACAGTCTGATTAAATCTAAAGAAATATGTGGATCACTAGCCTCCATGGTGTGACATATATGTATACAAGCTTTCCACATCAAATATTTATTCCATTTTTAAGGGTGGTATGGATCCAAGAGTGAAGCTTAACCACAGCAACTTGTTTCTGTTCATATTTTTGTAGCAGGCGGTATGGTAATATACCTGGCAGCATAAAGGAAGCTCCAATACAAAGAGGACAATTTCTGTCACAGATAAGCACTGATATGAAACTGAGACAATGAGTTGTTCATGAAGGCATATCTATATCCAGACATGAAGGCATTGCATACACTTTTTAATAACATGGTAAAAAAAAAACATATTGTTTGTGAGACAAACTGAAACTCCAAAGCTGCCTTTTATCTCCCTTAAACTGAATCTTTCCTGTTTCTCTTCTCATGCACAAACATGAACACACAAACATTTTCTATTGAGAGCTCTTACATTTGAGTTTATTCATTATCCATACCCATCAGCATCAATCAATCAGCCCATAACCGCTCCCTTGTCCACGGTCACAAACACTTTCAGGTACACACATACACACACACACACACACACACATACACACACAC